AACCTTGGTGTTCCTCCGGACAAGCTGGAGAAGGTGGCCGGGAAGAGTGAGGTCTGGGCTTCTCTGTTTGGGCTGCTGCCCCTGCAACCCGCCCCCGGATAAAGTGAAGAAGATGGCTGGCTGGATGGATGGATCAGTCTATCATTTGTGGGTTTTGATAATGTCTTGTTCCCCTGCATCACAAGGCGTTCTTACTTATTCTACAAGGATTTTTTTTGTAATAAGACTGTCAGGAACATTTTCTCCATACTTAGAAATGCTCTGATTCTGAATTTAGATCAGATATGGGTCCAAAAGCGAATCAAAGACACATGGATCTAAAGGGCCAGTCTATTGTTTATATCAGGATGCATCCGTGCATTGGATGCTAACTGGAGAGCTGCCATGGGTAACAGCAAAGTGTTACCATTTTATAAACAATGTTTTCTCTGTTTGTGCCACAAAATATTTTGAATTGAGTTGACAAGACTCCCCAGCTCAGATGAAAATATTTTCTTTGGTGGTCATCATTGCTTTACCTGCATCTCCTCGGCTCATTTTCTAACCCAGTAAAGACTCTCACACTGAGCTGAAATGAAATGACAGCAAATAAAAGAGGCGAATGACAACAACAAAAATCATTTCTCTTGGTTCTATTTACAATTATTATTTCACTGATAAATACCATTTTAGTACATTACTTTTTGGATGTATTTATTTGTGAAACTTTATTAAAATCATGTTTAAGTCAGGTCTTACAGTTAAAAGTCAGAGTGAGCAATACAGTCTTATTAGTTTAACACTGATAGTCTGAAGTAAAAACAACAACTCTGGACTCTCCAACAGTCCTATGAAGAACTGTTCGTCAGTCTGTTAGCAACTGCCAGATTTCTCCAACATTTGTTGTTGTGTCTTTCTATTTGTTGGCTTACAACTGACTTTAGCCCTCTTTAGGGAACGTACACACAGAAACAACGTGGTGCACTTTGAAATACAAACAGAGCTGAACTGTTTGCCAAGTGTTTTTTTTCCCCCTGGGGTCTTTTAATAGCTGATTCAGCTTTTCCCTCATTTTTAAAAGAACAGATTATAAAGATAAGGTGAAGACAGTCTGTGATCCAAATGCTGACTTTCTCGCGAAACTCTCATGTGGCCCATGTCGTGGTATGAAATAACCAAAATTACTTTACTTTGGTTTTTAGTACTTTTATGGCCAGTTTGGGCAGTTTGCTTCACATGAGCTGAGAAAATAATCTGCATACTGAGAGCACTGGATCAAAGGTGTGTAAACAGACAAGATGTCCTTTGAAATGCAAACATAAACCAAACGAACTGCAGGTTTAAAATGCTTATGCCTGATATTCCATATGAATTGTGACATAAAGTAACAAACTGATGTACCAAATACTGTATGTGTCAGTCAAATAATAATATTTAAATTGTATTTATTTGTATTCAACATGAAGTGTTTCAACTGCATTTATTCTCATTATGAAAAATTAAACAGGCTCAATTAGTTGTTGCTAGTTTCTCTATTCTAAACTGTGATAAATGTAACACTAAAAAAAATTGCCACTTTTTGGCGTTCCGACGCATTAGACACAATTATGAGATCTTTTTATTACATATCAGACTAAGTTATTAGGCCTGCTGTTTACATTAGTGACTACAGTCACTAATGTAAACGACAGTGTATGTAATGACAGCAATGTAAACGACAGTTTGCCATCACTCAAGCTGTGTGCATAGACTGTAAATAAACAACAGCCCTAAGTGAGACTGGTTAGCGAGGTGTCATCTTGAAGCTGTGAGCTGAACAGTTTTTTTGCCATCACAGCCAAACTTTGCTTCCTGTTTAATATAACATTAAATGGGCGATGGTCTGGCCCACTTGAGATGAGTATGACACCCCAGAGCCAGTCATCTTTATTTGTTCAACATACATTTTTATGCACCATCTTGAAGCTTTTTTGACTATGAATTGTCTAGTTTTTTGTGTGTGTGTTTTTAAACATTAAATGTTAAAGACCGAAGCCACTTTGGTCCTTTCTCCAAGCTATTTGCACTTTTAGCTCCATACAGGAAGTATTTTCTGCCATAATTATCGGGGCGAT